CTTAATTATTTCTGACTCCCTTTCTTCACTACGAGCAATAAACAGTTTGCAATCAAGTAATAACGTGTTTGTCTTGGAAGCTAGACGTAGATCTATAAGAATACTTAGCAAGAGGGTAAATATAAAAATGTTGTGGATTCCTTCTCACATTGGCATGCAGGAACATGACAAAGTTGACGCCCTTGCTAAGGCTGCAGTAAATAAAGACAGTATTGAACGGAATCTTGAGTTATCAAATAGGTCCCTTAAAAGTGTCATTAGACGAGAACTTAGACGAGATGAATTTGAAGAAAGTAGAACAGTGCAAACTGGAACTAGCAGGTTCATTGTTCATCACAATGAAATGTGTGAAGTAAAACATGTGTATGGGGCAAGTAACAAAGTCAGTAGACTAACAAATGTTGTCACAGCTCGTATAAGACTTGGCTACAAGTATCTCTGGCAGTTCGGCTTGTATAGGGATCTAGATGAAGTAAAGTGTAAAGTGTGTGGACAAAGACAGGGACACACACTCGAACACTATATCTTGGATTGTAGTAAAATTTAGCCATTTAGAGATAAATCTAAGCTCACTCTGTATGATATGGCAACCTATCTTATTACCATGGATAAATTACCTGAAATCCTTGCACTGTACCCACATTTCTCTTCCAGTAGATGAACGACATATGAGATTCAGAAACAAGTAGTGTATTGTGAGGACTAATAATAAACAGAAGCTCCCCTATGACTCTGTAATATCCCCATTGGTCAAACTATTATGTATTAGCGATAAGACCTACCATTAATGTATGATGACTTACTGTAAATATATAGCTCTTGAAATAGCACTTTCTCTGTAACTAGCTGACATTGTAACTATAAGGTGTGAAGGAATAGTCAAGTTAAGTTAATCATAAAAAATAGTCAAGTTACCGTCAAGCCCAACCACTTGGGCTTGACGGTAGAGCGACGGTCTTGGTTCATGCAGGTCGGTGTTCAATCCCCTACCGTACAAGTGGTTGGGCACCATTCTTTGGAGCCGGTCGGCCGAGCGGACAGCACGCAGGACTTGTGATCCTGTGGTCCTATAGATAGGCAAACTATCCCTCACAATGTTCTTGCCAATGAACAAGTCCCAGTTGTTGATGACTGGTATTTCAAAACTGAAAAATCCCTTTGAAATTAGCAATTTATACCAATTGCCCTCGACAGCTTGTCACCACCACCACCAACGAACCTCAGAACAACTCCACATATATATATACCTCTCCCGCCTGGACGGGAGACAGATATATGTATAGGGCAATGTCCACCCAGCCTGACAGCTGGGTGGACAGAACTTCGGATTCGTAGTCCTGAGGTTCCAGGTTCAATCCCCGGTGAAGACAAATGGGCAAAACGTTTCTTTCACCCTGATGCACCTGTTACCTAGCAGTAAATAGGTACCAAGGAGTTAGACAGCTGCTACGGGCTGCTTCCTGGGGGTGTAACAAAACGGAGGCCTGGTCGAGGACCGGGCCGCCGGTCCATTTCGGGGCCGCTAAGCCCCGAAATTATCGCAAGATTACCTCCCTTTTTCCTAATCATATTTTTTCCTAACTTGAATCAAATTTCCTAACTTCTACCTTTGCCATCATCATTCCCTCCAACAGAGGCAGACAATGTTTCCACTGCTAGCCAAATTAATGTCCATCCTGTCCCGTCACCTATGCCACTCCCAGGAAAAAACTCTCATTCTATTATGGGCATCTCTTGAATAAAAGGCCATCTATATTTCTAATTTGAGAATGCTTAACAACCAAGATTTTCCTGCCTTTCCTGTTGAATCCCTTCATTGCCCCATGTCCTGCATCCCTGCTTGAAATCATCTGTCTCCACTGTCAGGCGAGCAACTACTGTACTGTCCTCGAACACACTTCCTCCAGTACAAATGTTGGATCTTTACACAACAGGTACTTCATACTGCTTATACTTTGAGACAACCCAATTTGGTGTTTTCACAGGAATGCCATCCACCTTGGCTACATACTGTTGCAATACACATCATCTGCTTCGCTTCACTTCTATCAATTGACCAAAATCTTTCCTCCTGGCAGCACACTTCAACTCTAAACTTGGCTCCATCTCAAATAAGTTAGGATTCTTTGGTTGTTGAGGTTGAAAGTTAAGGTATACATTATACATTCACACTTTTCACTCTTTACAAATGTTTTTTGGATGAGAGCATGTACAGACAACTAACTCTTCTACTAGGTTATTACAGGCAAGATCAATGTGACTAAATTCAAGCTAAACACATCTAATACTTACTGAATGAAACACCCCATGATAAATCTCCATCATCATTGTAACAAACTTGCTGTAGCTTGTAAGATATTATAAAATCCCAGATGATGTGGTTTCACGAAATCAGGAGTAGAGAGTTTTGTACCTTGGAGACGAGCATGGGTCATCTCCCAGGGGATTGGAGCAGGGATGGGTAAGCCGGGTCGCCAGCTTCTTGTATTTAAAGTATTACTTGAGTAATTCATGTATTAAAGTAACCTGTTGTCAAGCATGTAGATTTATTTAACGTCATGTATGAGTAAAGAATCAAATCCCCTTCCTTAGTCGAGGGCAGGTGACTAGTAAATTTAGCAACATCAACCTAGGTCAGGTCGCCGCCAGCAAGAGAGGCTCGTATCATTCTCGCCTCCATCCCCTCTACCCCAAAGTCTCCATCTCGGTAATCCAGTAATGTGGAGAAATTCAAGTTAAATTTAATATTGCATTCAATGATACTGAAATTGTTGTAATAACTAATCTGGTTAAGTATGTAGGTAGAATGAAAATCAAAGGCTTGGTTAAAAGACGGTAACTTCAGTACAGTAGAGGGATTGGGTCAAGCGGAGCAGTGACCCACCCCTAGGTCACAGTCACGCGGCTTTTGTGACCAGTCTTTCGGATTGTGAATTCACCTTAATTAAAGTTCACTAGCCAATATTGTAATTGGAGATAGTTTTTCCAAGATGCCCAATTTAATTACCACCAGTTTTAACAATAATTCAACCTTCTGGTTTGGCCAGGATATGAGATTAGTGTGTTCAAGTTAAACCCTGCTTGGTAAATTGATAATCCTGGCAGAGTAATACTCACTAGCCTCAGTCCTGCGGAGCTAGGAGAGTTCAGTGGTTCCTGTAGCAGTGCCGGGAGGTTCTCCATCTCAACCTCCAGAGACCAGAACACCATCGGCTGGTTTCTAAGATTACGGTAGAGTGCAAAGAGTTTGTACACATAAATAGTTTCACATCTGCCTCTTTTTGGGAATATTTCCCCCATTAACCCCCAAGGGTTAAATTTTTTTTTTTTTTTTTTTTTTTTTTTAGAGATATATACAAGTTGTTACATTCTTGTACAGCCTCTAGTACGCGTAGCGTTTCGGGCAAGTCCTTAATCCTATGGTCCCTGGAATACGATGCTCTGCCGCGAAGAATCGTTTTTTCATCCAAGTACACATTTTACTGTTGCGTTAAACAGAGGCTACAGTTAAGGAATTGCGCCCAGTAAATCCTCCCCGGCCAGGATACGAAACCATGACATAGCGCTCGCGGAACGCCAGGCGAGTGTCTTACCACTACACCACGGAGACTGCCGTGTATAGTTAATTGACTGTTAATTGACACGGAGACTGCGTAATAGTTAATTGGCCCATACCCTGATTAATTGACAACATTGGTAATCGGTCTGGAGGTGGTGGCGATTAAGATCCTTGAGCGTGCTAGAGCCTAGTACAGGCGTCTGGCAAGTTGTTGTTCCTACGGCGGTCAAACACCTGAGGTCACGAGGCGTGGACTTAGCTAAGAGTTAGCTCTGGGGTCTTTGAGTTAAGATATCTACGGGCAGGGTAGTGGACAGAGTAGAGCCAAAACCTCATTCTGTGTTACATCATGATAAAAAGGGGGGCAAACAAGCCCTATTGCATAAATGTTGTCACTGCGGGGAACTCACTGGAGTTTTTAGGTTAGGGCTTTACACAATTTAATGATCTGTACATATTGTGAATACAAAGAAAACATCCTGCAGGAATGCCATTCCCTCCATGAACAATTTCAATTAGTAAAGGAGTTTGGAATGGGTGCATCTTATCAAATGTGGCACAAAAATGATTGAATATTGGTAAGTTAGCAGTATGTATTTAATACAATACTGATTGTTACAATCAAAATACTGTATCACCAAAAAATGGTGTTGAAATTGAAGGAGATAATGCACACAACACCCATTATCCTGCTTAAACACCAGTTAAGAGTGCAATTTGATAAGCATCTTTATCTGCACCCTAGATGGTATAAGGTGAATTATCAAAAGACAACACCAAATAAGGTGAAGGTTATTTCGCGTGACAGGTTATGGACACGCGACACTCGAGGCATGTGTTTAAGGGACCAGGACAGGTTACCTTACTTGATACCGTGTCATTTTTTAGTGTAATGTCCATCCATTATGTATATTACCCAGAATTTAAATATTTTTTGTTTAATGTCACTTTTAGGACATAGTTCAAAATTGGGACAAATAGCAGATGAAATTGAACAGCTGAAGGATGGATGGTGGTGGTGTCTAATGTTAACAATGTTATAATTATAAAAACAGCTGCCAGGAAATAATCTATTTGTAAAACCATAATGGATCCCTACCAGGATTTGATATGCCTTCATACAATCTCTCTCTACCCTTTGTTCATACAGGGGGCCAAGTGCTACACTGCAATAAGAGCCTGTGGGTTTTCTAGCCGATCTGAGCTGTAGCAGTGCTAAGAGGAAAAGTATTCCAGCGGATGACATTGAACACTGGGCAAATTTTATGTTGTTCAACAGATCTATTATAGCCATAATTTACAATGCAATTTGCCTTATGTGGAATTAGCATATTTCTTTATTTTCACATTGACCATTAAGTGAAGCAGTAATTGCTTTCATTCACTAACAATACAGTATGGTTATTACTTGGCACGAATAGGAAATTAAGAAAACCAGAAAAATAGCAAAGTATTCATTGACAATAATTGTGGAGGTGAAAAATTACAGGACTATAAAATGGCTGACAAAAATGTTAAAAAATTAAAGTGGGAAAGGGTACCATCTTCATTCAACATGCCACCTCTAATGACTAAGTTTACTACCTACAATACAATTTAATCATTCCAGAGTACCCCCATTCCTGGCCACCCTTCCAATATACTAATACAAATTTATTACATGCACACTTTTCTTACAAAATACTTTTCATTGCAATTAGACATTGGCAATAAATATTTATTCTCTAGCAGTACCAATATAAAATTAAACAAACATTAAGACTAATTAAAAAAAATCAATATTGACGTAGTATAACATTTCAGTTACTAAACTTCTTATTCTACAAGTTCCACCCATCAGCCATATATTACAATATAACTACTGTACCAACAAATTTTTAAGACGATTTGATACACGTTGCTAAAAACAATAATATTGTACCCAAAATTTAAAAACTTGCTTAAAGTTTTATGTTTTGAAGGCATTTGAAACCAAGAAGGGAAAAACAATAACTGGCCATTATCTTGTTTATTAATCAGTCATGCACACACATCTTGAGTCATGTATAATTAAGTTAGAATAGAAAACATGGCAATGTTGAGAAGCTGGGCACAATTCAAAGTCTCTACTTCTTGGTCTTCTTCTTTGGCTGCAAAGAAATATTTGTATATTATATAACTAAATATTTATTCATTAAAGCAGCCCAAATTTTATTCAAGCTAGTAAAAAACATAATAATGAAATTCTGAATAATACTCAACAAATACAATTAAAAAATTTTTGATTAGCAAAAATTTACTGTATTAGTCTGTGAGAATGCATGTCTGTCCACAAATGGAGGCAAGATGCTTTGCAGTCAATGGTTTGTGGTATGGGACCCCACACCCGACTCATGTGGTAGTCACGGTCCGGCACAATAGTAAGCCCCCCACCCCCCCATCTAATCTGAAAATTCCAGGCCTACTTTGTTTAATGTTCCTAAATATCAGACTCCATCTTTTAAGATTCCTAATGCATAATATTTTCTACATGATTAAATGTTAGTTTGTCTTCTGAACTGATGTGTGGATATAGATAATGGGGTCCATAAAGGAAAGGAGTGGGGAGGGGGGGGGGGACAGACTAGGGCTTATCTGGGCACCCCTCCTTCCCAATATACTTAAAATATTAAATATTAAAATAACTTAATAGATTTGGAGGCCCAAGTCTCTATACACAATAAAAATTAATTTCATTTTTTCATAAGTAATTCTCAAGGTATGGCACCACACTAGGAGCAATATTTAGCACCATCTGCCCCAAGACACCAAAATTTGCTAAATCTCACTTGGGATGCCAATGAGAAAAAGAGGACACAAGGCAAGAAACATTAAAGGTATTGGATTCACCACAGGATTATATCGAGGGGGAAAACAAAATGAACTATCGTTCTGAAAATTGGGACATTCTAAAAGGAGGTGCACAACAGTGGGACAATGCAGTTTGGCAAAAGGAACACTGTTCCAGTAAGTACCTGTGAATCAAGTGCACGAGACCAATATGCAACCTAACCCAGAGCCGTTTTCCACTATTTCAAAGGGTAGGAAGGCCAAGAGAGAAAGATCACTTAACTCTTCTACTGCATGACAACTAGGGATACACCCTCCATTTATCCATGAAGTGCACAACTCAATCATGAATGTTTTACCATGCTGTGTAAGATTTAAAACTCCCACGGGTACATGGGACTTACATCTGTTTTCTTTGGCCTACTGTAAATCAACACCATCTTTGAAAAACTCATGTGCATCCCCTCCTGAGTGTGAAAGCCACAGTATTTGGATAGCAACCATGAGTAGTGTATGCAGCAGACGCTCATACCAATAGCGTTACAATGATGAAATAATTATTTAGCAATGATAATGACCCAGATAATAATAATAATAATATATATCTATCTCTTAACCTAACCTAAACTAACACAATTAAGTCAATAATATATGTTCTTAATATAATACAGTACACTATTTTCACTTTGGTTACCTCAATTCTCGTCTTAGGTCTTTCATTTTTGTATCATTATGTTCGCAATAGAATTCCCTACAGGTGAATATGCAAATATAAAGTCCAAAAGCCCGACGTACCACCCACAGCAAACAGAGAAAGTGACTGTTACCCCAGTGAGCACTAATAAAGAGCAATAAAATGTGTTTACTCTTTTCAACTTTATTACCTCAATTCTCGTCCTAGGTCTTTCATTTTGGTATCAATGTGTTCGCAATGAAAATCCCTACAGGTGTATATGCATATAATGTCCAAAACCGCGGTTTTCACAAAAAAATGTTTTTATTTTTTGATGCCATCCTAGTCAGTGGGTATTTAACTAGTAAACTTTTGAATCCATACTTCGCCATCGGTGGGCGAAAGATAGGGTCCTCATTTTTACTGTACCTGAGTACCTGGAATTAATCAATGTTAAACATCATGTTATTTTCTGTTGCCCAGTTGAAAATTTTATTAATATCTGCTTGAAGCTTTTCAGTGTTTTCAGCAGAGGTAACTTTCACTCTGATTTGTGTCATCTGCAAAGGATAATATGAAACTGTGACTTGTATTTTTGTCTATATCTGATATGAGAAGGAAAAGCAGTGGTGCAAGGACTATACCCTGAGGTACAGAACTTTTAACTGTGCTTGGAGGCAATTTTATATGGTTGACCGTTACTCTATGTTCTGTTCAACAGTAAACCGAGTATCCAGCGTCCTACTTTACCGGTTATTCCCATTGACCTCATTTTGTGTGCTTCACTCCATGGTCACATATACATCGAATGCCTTTGCGAAATCCTTGAATACCACATCTGCATTCTGTTTTTCTTCTAATGCCTCAGTGACTGACGTAAAGAATTAAATACCAGGAATTTCTTTCAGTTTTAGTAAACAGATTTTATACAAAATTTGAAAATATCCCGAGTTACTTTACAATTTATTGAAATGTTAGTTTTGTTTTATTTGTTTTATTAAAGTGTAATACAGTATCAATATAGCTATAGGTTAACACTTTCGCGCTATCCGGACGCATCGGCGCGTCCCGTTTCGTCTAACGCTAACGCATAGTGGACATAAAGTTTTGTCCTCTTTTAAAATATTTGTATAAAATTCAATTTTTATCAGATTTACTTTGGGTTTGTTTCAAACTGCGCACCACGAGGCTCTCTTTCTCACCACTAGGCTGCATGGTACAATAAGTTCATGAAAGGTGTGGATAACTTTGATCAAATGGTATTATGTCCCAAACGGGTTGCAGGTGGGTGACTTTAGCTGTTTATACTGGTAATGCTTCCCCCATATCATGTATTATATGCATATGTTTGTTTAGGGAATTTTATTCCGATCAATATACAACCAAAAATAACTGTGTGCAACAAGTATAAACTTGACAAACATAACAAAAGTAAAAACATTTCGTGTGTGTTTGACGCTCACTGATATGTTCCAGCGTTGTTTTATATTTGGCGCTATTCTAACTTACACTTTGTTGATCTTTTTTACCTATGGGCTCATAGAACTCATAGAACATTCTATTGCGAACACATTGACACAAAAATGAATGACGTACATAGAAAATTAATGTCATGAGAGTGAAATAAGTATAAACTTTCAAAGCGCCGTGCGTCGTCCCGTCACCGATACCGGGTAACAATTTCACCACTTCCCACACTCTTGCGGGCAGGCCGCATCATTATTCTATGCTTATATTCATATCACCGTGTTGGGAATTTCATTGCGAGTCCATTGATACCAAAATTAACGCTGTAGAACAAGTGTGGAGGTGATTACAATCCCAAGAGTAAAAACATTTTTTTGGCGTTGGGCGCTCACGGCGAGTCATCTTCGTAGTTATTTATTTGGTGCTGGTATTCCTATACGTTTCGTGACTTATTTTACTGATGTTCTTCTAGAGAATTTTATTGCGAACACGTTAGTACCAAAATGAAATACGTAGCTTGAGAACTAAGGTCAGAAGAGTAAAAAGAGTATACACATTTTTGTTTTTACGCTTAAGCGATAAAAACGCAACGCGCACATACGGTTGGCCGAGTGACCTTCGCGGAGAGCGCGAAAGTGTTAAGCAGTAATAGTAATTAATAAGCAATAAAATGCTTATCTTCAAAAACTAAGATGGTTAGGTTAGGTCGTGGTTTTCTATTCAGCTTTTCAGGCAAACTCAAATATTCACAATATATTTGACAGTACAGGTTAATACTAAGTGAAAATAAGTACAATTCCTGACTGTCATACACAGTACATAATTGCACTTATGGGGCTGTTACAATTTATCTCCCCACTTTTGGAAGACAGGCTGGTAACGTGTCTGCCTGCCCCAAGTGGACCCGTCCAGACCTGGTCAAGCCAATAGTCCATGTGCTCCCGTTCCTCGTGTTATACCAGTGCCGCACCATTAGTGAAACTTTTTTTTAAATAAAATTTACTATGAAAACAAAAAAGTTATCATTTTTTGTCCAAAACTGTCTGGAAGCAGCAGATATAGCTCCGCTGCACAAGGGGGGTATCTTGAGGTTATCTCGAGATGATTTCGGGGCTTTAGTGTCCCCGCGGCCCGGTCCTCGACCAGGCCTCCACCCCCAAGAAGCAGCCCGTGACAGCTGACTAACACCCAGGTACCTATTTACTGCTAGGTAACAGGGGCATTCAGGGTGAAAGAAACTTTGCCCATTTGTTTCTGCCTCATGCGGGAATCGAACCCACGCCACAGAATTACGAGTCCTGCGCGCTATCCACCAGGCTACGAGGCTAAGTAAGGCCTTGGCAAAAAATTAGACCAGTTGCACTAACATCTCACATAATAAAAGTTTTTGAAAGTGTGATTAGAATCAACTTTCTAGTTATATGAAAAATAATTGATTACACAACCCAGGACAACATGGATTTAGAGCGGGAAGATGCTGTCTGTCACAGTTACTCAACCACTATGACAAAATCACAGGTCTGGAAGAAAAGCAAAATGCAGATGTAGTAACCACAGACTTTACAATGGCATTCAACAAATGTGATCATGGGATAATAGTTTTTTACATAGTTTATATTGTTGTTTATACTTTATTGTATTGTATTTGCAATATTGTTCTTCAATTTGCCTTTATATGCATCTATCCATCTAAAGCATTCCATTAGAAAAAATTCATACCAAAATGAGCGCTGTAACATGAAAATTGATGTTAGCAACCGGAAAATATACTCAACATTTGTGGGTGGGAATTGGGGGGTGTAGCGGGTGGGCTTCTAGGCGCTCCCTCGCTGGTAACACTTGGCCCAATTTCAACTTGTTGGTGGGTGGAGCGTGACCAGTTTTTTTTTTATTTTATATGCATATACTCTTAGAGAATTCTATTGCGAACCCATTGATACCAAAATTAAAGACCTGGTACGAAAATTGAGGTGACCAAAGTGAAAAGAGTACACCTTTTATCGCTCTTGAGCGCTCCCGGGTGACTCGCTCGCACTTTCTCTGTTTGCTGCGGGTAGTAAGCCGGGCTTTTGGAGTTTATATGCATTTACTCCTCTAGAGAATTCTATTGCGAACACATTGATACCAAATTGAATATCTTAGGACGAGAATTGAGGTGACAAAGTTGAAAATAGTATACACTTTTCAGAATTACCGCATGCTTCCGTGGAATGCCCAAACCCACCCGGGGTAGTGGGGAGGTCGTGTGCCCAGAGCGCGAAAGTGTTAAAAATATTTCACTAGTGGCACAGCACTGTGGTATAATGTGAGGGACGGGAGCACATGGGCTGTTTGGCTCGACCAGTCCTGGACGGGTCCACTTGGGGCAGGCAGACACGTTACGTGGGCTGCCAGGTCGAAAAAACTCAATATTTTTGTAGCAAACTTCAGTTTGTGAAAATTGCTTTAAAAAACTTATTTGTTATTACAGTATATAATAATTTCTTTTGTTTTTGACTGTGATGAATTGTTCTAAAATTAATGGTAACTCCTGTAGGCTCCTCCACATCACCCAGGCAGTCCCTCCCAACGCTCCCCTCTCTCCCACCCCACCCCCCTCCTACACCACGCACCTCAAGCCACAGCCGTATGGGATTAATACCGTACGGCCTGATGCCTGGCTTCCTGATCCGGACAATCGGCTCTCCGGCTTACTGTCCAGATTGGGCAACATCGGTAGCAAGCTAACTGGCTCAGATTTTTTATCCGGTCAAACATCGGCTAGTCTGGCTTCCGTGGACATTTTGGCCGGATGGGGAGACATTATCCTGCCACAATTTTGGCTGGATTAGAGCGTTTTTCCAGATAGGCGGATTCCGGATTAGTGGGCGTCTACAGTATTTCATAAAAATTCGTAAAAAATCCATTACTTAACATACTGGGATGAAATTTCCACAACGCTGATGCCAAATAATGGGAGATTTATTTAATTTTTTTCACCTTTTCATACAATATTTGGAAAAGTCTCCACATGCACCAGGCCCCCCTTAAGACATTAGTGCTCTCTAGTGGAATACTGTTGCACAATGACAGCCTCTTTCAAAGCTGGAGAAATTGCCAACATGGAGAGTGTGCAGAGATACTTTACTGCTAGAATCCACTCAGTAAAACATCTAAACTATTGGGACTGTCTGCAATGCCTAAACCTGCATTTTCTCAAGTACAGACGGGAGATATGCATAATAATTTATGGGTGGAAAATATTTGCGGGGCTGGTCCCAAACTTGCACACAGAAATAACACCACATGAGTGGTGTTATTTCATTGAGTGGTGAGTGGTGTTACATCGAAAAAGAGTGCAGGAGCACTTTGCTTGCCACTCTCCATAGTGACTGGAAACAGGAGACCTACCAGAAATATAGAAGACTGCTAATGTAGTACCAATATACAAAAAGGGAGACAGGCAAGAGGCACAACTACAGGCCAGTGTCCTTAACTTGTATACCATGCAAGGTGATGGAGAAGATTGTGAGAAAAACCTAGTAACACATCTGGAGAGAAGAGACTTCGTGACAACCCATCAACGTTCAGGGAGGGTAAATCTTGCCTTACAGGCTTAATAGAATTCTACGATCAGGTGACAAAGATTAAGCAAGAAAGAAGGATGGGCGGACTGCATTTTTTTGGACTTTCGAAAAGCCTTTGACACAGTATGTCAAACCTTTGTAACACAGTAAGCAAACCATTGACACCTCTTAATGTTTGCTGATGACGCCAAAATTATGAGAAGGATTAAGACAGAGGACAGCTTGAGGCTTCAAGAAGACCTGGACAAGATGTAGGAATGGTCGAACAAATGGCTGTTAGAGTTTAACCCTAGCAAATGTAATGTAATGAAGATAGGGGTAGCAAGCAGACCAGATACAAGGTATCATTTGGGAGATGAAATACTTCAAGAGTCAGCGAGAGAGAGAAAGACCTGGGGGTTGATATCACGCCAGACCTGTCCCCTGAAGCTCGTATCAAGAGGATAACATCAGCAGCATATGCCAGGTTGGCTAACATAAGAACGGCCTTTAGAAACTTGTGTAAGGAATCTTTCAGAACATTATATATTACATATGTCAGACCAATCCTGGAGTATGCGGCTCCAGCACAGAGTCCATATCTAGTCAAGCATAAGACTAAACTGGAAAAGGTTCAAAGGTTTGCCACCAGACTAGTACCCGAGCTGAGAGGTATGAGCTATGAGGAGAGACTACAGGAATTAAACCTCACTTCGTTGGAAGACAGAAGAGTTAGGGGGGACATGATCACCACATTCAAGATTCTCAAGGGAATCGACAGGGTTGATAAAGACAGGCTATTTAACACAAGGGGCACACGCACTACAGGACACAGGTGGAAACTACGTGCCCAAATGAGCCACAGAGATATTAGAACTTTTTTAGTGTCAGAGTGGTTGACAAATTGAATGCATTAGGAAGTAATGTGGTGGAGGCTGACTCCATACACAGTTTCAAGTGTAGATATGATAGAGCCCAATAGGCTCAGGAACCTGTACACCTGTTGATCGACAGTTGAGAGGCGGGACCAAAGAGCCAGAGCTCAACCCCCGCAAGCACAACTAGGTGAGTACATACATACACACACACACACACACACGACTCCACGAGGTGAGTACGTGGAACCAGAACGCATGGCAGGATGTGCAGAATACCCCTGTTGAAAAGTAAGAGGTGCAATAGATACTCGGAGGGAACTCCAACCACATCAAAGGCCCGAGACTGTTCAACATGCTTCCACTACACTAAGTGACATAACTAGCCGACCCCTCACAGCGTTCAAGAGAGAACTTGATAAACACCTCCAAGGGCTACCTTATCAAGCTGTGATTCATACGTCAGGCTGCGAGCAGCCTCGTCCAACAGCCTGGTTGACGACCGGGCCGCTGGGACTTGAGCCCCCGAAAACATCGCAAGGTAGGAGGCCAGCACCCTAATGGGGAGCTTCCAGGAGGTAATAAGGTGTTGGGGCTATAGGTAAACCAAACAAAACATGAAACAGGAATGAAAAACTTGAATGTGTACTGAAGCAGCACAACTTACTGGAGAGTCCTCAACCTCCTCATCCTCCTCTTCATCCTCCCCTTCCTCTTCAGCATCATCCATATCATCTTCACCAATGATGTTTGTTTCCGTCTGGTGGGTGCCACTTATGTAAACCGGGCCCGATCCTTTGGTCAGATGAAAAGTGGCTGTCTGGTCTTCTATAAGGATCTGCAACAAAAATTACTTTGAGAACACACACACATAATAAAAATTATTTTGTGTGTGTGTGTGTGAGATAGATAATTATATATATATATATATATATATATATATATATATATATATATATATATATATATATATATATATATATATATATATATATATATATATATATATATATATATATATATGTATATATATATATGACAAAAGGGCAGAATGAATATAAAATTAATTTCAAGAGTTTGTACCCAACAATAAAACAGTGAAAGAAGAATGCATTCATGTACATGCAGCAGTTCGCACATAAAAGGATATAATATACAACCCATCCTCTGAAAACAAATACATACAGCTACTATTAATGTAATGTACAAAATATGAACCCGTTAAAAAACCCAGCGTTGAATGTAATGAAACGCCATTTTCTGGGCGAGCCCCGGAGGCTCCCTGGAGCTTATCGGGCTAACGTATGTTATATTAGACCGGGACATTAGCTAAGGAGTTCAGACCTACCAGGGACCAGTGCCCGAACCTGGCCCCTTCAGAGAGGTTTCAGGGAGTAATGGCCCTGGAAAATCCCTTGTGGTTGGGGTTTTCCTTATCTGCCATCGACCAGGGTTAGGCACCCAGAAAGGTAGGCATAACAAACCCCACATGGTAAAAAACTAAAACAAAAACCGAACTGAGGTAGAAACTCCCTAGAATCACAAGGAAACAAGCAAACATCACACTTTACTGCCGCGCCGATTGTCCGCGCAGCCCTCCCCGCCCCGGGAGGGGGAGGGGGGAGCCCCGAACCTACCACGCCGGCTGCCAAGCTTCAGTTTGGAAGCTAAGCTTCAACCAATGCGAAAAAACCGCCGACCGGTGGGAGGGAGGGTTGCCAGGGAGCCTCCGGGGTTCACCCAGAAAATGGCGTTTCATTACATTCAACGCCGGTTTTCTGTGGGGAGTCCCTACGGCTCCCTAGAGCTTTATACCCAAAGAGAAGGAAAAGAAAGGGCTAACCCGGGAGGCGGCCGCCACAAACTCTGCAACGCAAAGCCAAGACAACCGGTCGCAAACCTGCAACCCAAGGCAACAAGAACGTCCAGGAGCAGACGCGCATAAGGATGGGCGGCCAAGAACCTGTGCAACCCACAAATCCCTGCGCCCGAAATGAGCCCGAGACGTCACCAACACAGCAGCAAAAACTGCAAATGTCTGAACAGCACGGGCGCAAAGACAGACAGCAGGCTGGAAGAATGAAAACTCTGCGGACGAAATGGGAGACCCGAGCCCTGAAAACAGCGAACGAAGGAACCGGATCAACCACAGCGCACATCCAGACACGGTACGCCGGCAACTGCAAAAAAGCACAACCGGACAACACAGGACACACCCCCCGGCCAAACCAATCAAGTACCAATACCCCAAGAACCCCTCCGGAAAGCAGCCGTCTCGACCGTCGCCAGGACAGAGAAAGGCTGCACACCTATAAAGCTACCACCAGTACCAAAGAGCAGGAAATTGAACCGAAGGGGCTACCACAAACTGAGGGGAAGATAAGAAGGCACCCTGAACAAGGACCAGGATGGCTCAGGCGACGCATGAGCAGGCCGGAGGGGAAACAAAACATGAGAAAACGTATGAAACGTCATACTGTCGCCAAGACGAAGCTCGCAGGTGGGACACCGTCAACAAAGCCACCTGAACACCATAGAGACGGTGATACCCGCGTCAAAATACCAGACGCGAAGAGCCAAGGAGAAGGCCGAACCAGTCACGGACAGGACCGAGTCGGCCTGCTGAAAGAGGCGGAGCCTCAAGAAAAACGCCCCGGGTTCGGACCCCTATCAAGCAGCGTCTGAAAAAGAAGGCCGGGCTGGCCACCATGGAACCATAAGGACTGCTCTCGTGGGAATGGGCTGCAACCGAGCCAGAATCCAAAGCAACAGCTGGACCGGGAGAAGAGGAACAGGTACCCCCCCACCTCGACCAGTCCTGCCGAAAACATTCTCCGTGAAGTCCTCACAGGTGGAAAAGGGCGCCACAAAATGGGCGACACCTAGACCACACTGACCCGAAGACGTCCATGGCCAGGAGTCCATACGCCCGACAGAGCCAACAAAACGAATCGGCGACGACTGGCCAACCCACGAAGAGGAATGAACCGAGAAAGCTGTCCACCAGGATGCAGGACACATCCCGGACATGAACCACACGGTTAGCCAAACCCCATTGGTTCCGGCAAGAACCACCAGAGAACAGTCCGAACAGAGCTGAATGGTAGAGCACCTAGTGACCCAAACCCTCCGAAGCGCAAACCAGACAGCCACGAACACCCGAACCGTGCTGTGAGCCCGACCTGGTGAGCACTGGTCACAAAGCCCCAGCCGAGAGACGACCCATCTGTGAACACATCGAGCGAAGGCTCGGGGAGGTGCCAAGGCACGGAACCACGAAAACCGCTGAGCAACCCGGGAACCCCTCCTGTACAGCCGAAGGCTGTACAGGAGGGGTTCCCACATGCCGCAGAAACGTACATGTACCCACATGTACCCACAGCCGCAGAAACACTTCTGGAGGGAAATACAACGAGTGGCCCAAGAGCCTTAAACAAGGCCCAGGTCCGAACCCGGGACGGAAACAGATGGAAAAACCTCCAGATCAACAGGAAACCAAACCCGGCAATCTGGAAGGAACCATCCCCTGGCGAGCAGACAAGCGGACTGACTGGGAGCCCACACCAGCCAGTCGTCGAGGTAGGCCAGACACCGAATCTCAGACTCGGACAGGGCACTAAGATCCGGTAAAGATGCAAAAAGTATACGAAGTGCTCATTACAAAATAGGGAAGGCAATAAAAACAGCAAACCTGAAGCCCCACCACCAACCGTGCCAGTCCCAGAAAACTGGAGAGGAACGTGCCAAGAAGTGACCTGGAGGTCCAGGGCCACCATCCAGGCACCCGGCCCCAACAGAATCCGAACAGGAGACAACAGTCCTCCGAGGAGGGCATAGGATCCAGGGCGCATACTGAAGTCCAGAAGAACTGCAGACGGGAACCCCAGAAGGATGGGGCAGATCGACCACGCCCCACACACCCACGAAGAAGAAATGACCAAGCGCAGGGGAAGAAGCCCACCCCGCCAGCTCTGAACCCCCCCCAAGGGGGAGAAGCCGTCCTCCGACGCCAGCAGAGGCCGGAAGACAACCCAAAGCGCCCACCAACAGCGGGACCATACGAGATGCAACAGAGCAAGCTGCTCCCCCAGCGCCCAGTCAACAGAGAAGGGAACAGAACCCCTTCCGAAAGAAAAAGTACACTACCTAATTCATGATGAGAGACTACGGGAATTAAACCACACTTCGCTGGAAGACGAAGAGTGAGGGGGGACCTGATCGCCACATTCAAGAGTCCCAAGGGAATCGACAGGGGTGATAAGGACAGGCTATGTAACAAGGGGCACACGCACTAGGGGACACAGGGGGAAACTGAGTACCCAAAAGAGCCACAGATAATTTTTTTTTTATTAATGTCAGAATGGTAATTGGAAAGCACTAGGAAGTAATGTGGTGACTCCACACACAAGTAACAAGGCTGACCCCCATACAGTGTCACATGTAGACATGATAGAGCCCAATAGGCACAGGAACCTGTACACCTATTGATAGAGATGGTCGAGAGGCGGGACCAAAGAGCCAGAGCTCAACCCCCGCAAGCACAACTAGGTGAGGACATATATTGTAAAAGTACAAGTCGCCGACTAGTGGGCAGAGAGCACCACGCCGGCCAGGCAAAGAAGGCACAAAACTGCATCAAAAGGCCCACCTCGACAGCAAAACCGCAAAGTCCCAGCACGACTACAACATGTGCCAAGATCCAAAAAGATCAGTCTGCAAGCCAGGAAGACCCTGGAACCCCAGAAGGCAGAACCGGGTCACACGAGGAAACAAAGTCCCCTGAACCCACAAAAGGGGGCCCAAGAGGAAGAAACCTCCGGAACAAAACCAAGGAACCCAAAGGAACCCAGAATCGAACCAGGGGGAGCCCAAACCACCACATTTTGCCGGTGGAGAACACCACTGAAAGGCAAAGCACAGCCCCCAGCAGAACCCCCTGGGAAACCGGTTCCAACAGACCGAAAACCGAGGGACAAGGTGTGGGAGCAAGCATACCAGCTAGGGGCAGAGCCTAAACCCAAAGGCTCAGACCCAAAACAGAAAAATTGGAAAAACCCGGTGTAAAATCAACACCCAAACGTTCCCAGAGGAACAGGCAACGGCAAGAAAACACCAGAAAAGCAAAGAAACGACAACAGAACAAAAACCATGAAAAAAAAAATGAAAACTCACCCGAAACGCTCGCTCGCACACGCAGACGCATGTAAACAAACCGCAACGCCGCCCTGGTGGCCATGCCAGGAAACCGACAGACGAAATGGCCGCCAGCACGGGCTGTGACCGACGCTAAATACACAAAAACACGCCAGCATATGTGGGAAGCTAGCAGACTGTATGGGTGAAAAACGCCGCCCAACAGCAGAAAAAACCCTTGCAGGGGCAAAACCGTCCCAGAACTGCTAGCAGGCATCCCCACAGCCCCGGGAACCAACAACAGAGGCCCCGGGGTAGAGCCATCCTTCAAGCCCTCCGCCCTTGAAGAAAAGCAAGAGTCCATGGGAAAGGCAACAAGAAAGGGCCGCTGGTAAGACCCAGAAGCCTTGGCAGGAGGCACAGGCTCAAACCTCCCTCCCCAACCCGAACGGGGAAGCCCCCGAAAACCGCCCGAGTCTCTGCCGCAACTAAACCCCACCCCGACCCCAAAACCCGCAGACGGTCCGGAGCCGGGAACATGGAGGGAAAGGGGCGAACAGCACCTAACCAAACGGGGCGGCCACGGGGCATTCGAGTGGGAAACCAACCTAGCATGTTGCAGCAACCTAACCAAGCTTGCAACACGGATGCTGCCTGTACTCTGAACAGTAATAACATCAGGAGAGTACTGGAGAACAAGCAGAG